TTTGATCTCAGCGGCAGGTGAAGGCAGTGCAGCGTGCTTACGTCATAGGCTGGCGTCGTTCTGCCACAGCTGAGCCTCAGCAGCAGCAGCAGGGACTGCTGTCCGGTAGGAGCAGGGCCGGAGGAAAAATGCAGACATCCTGCGGAAAACACACCGAGCAGCGTCCCGACGCCACTCGCTGATCCTCGTGTTTTCGCCGTTTTTCGTTGTTCCTTTGTCTGCTTGCGTCCCTCTCCTCTCTAAACACCGAGGATGGGGGAATGATCAGTGCCGCCACCATCTCCCCGTCCTCCGCCTTCGTCTGGTGTCTGTGCCCAGGATGAGGGCTCGGCTGCTCGGACACACGGTGGTGTTCGTTGCGCTTTTGGCGCTGAGAAGCTGCCTGGCAGGTAAGCAGACACATTTATGAAGCCGGGCCTCTGCGCACCATCAGCCTGGGAACAGTTATTACTGTGGAGGTGCTCTCTACAGAAATGCGTCTATGAGCATGATATCTAATGTTAGCCCAGTGAATATATGAAGCCAGTTACTGTGTTTGTTCCATTCAGTGTGCAGAGCATGTTGCTGTGTATATTATGGGATTTCAGTCTAAAGTGATTGGATGTTGTCCGCGTGCAGGGACAGAGTGTTTCTCCTCATGATGACTCAGATGACACTGAGTCAACAGCTGCCATATGAAAAAGAAGTTAAAGGTGATGCTACAGCTTGTAATGGTGGCATCGTGCTGGTCGTCTGAGTCTTTAGTTTCGAGGGTTAAGATGTGCACATATGTTTGCTGGCTGTAGAGCATGCATGTCAGCGCAGTGCAGACAGTGGGGGGGTACTACAGTAGTTCTCACCCTGTGATGTGTCGTGTTGTGTCAGGCTGGAAGACCACGACAGCAGAAATCCTGTTAGGCAGCGAAGAGGAAGAATATGTTTTCCAGGTGTTTGTTAGCAGCTCTGTTATCTAAACAGTGTGTTTGCTGTGGCCTGGAGCTTCTCAGGAGCACATTCCTGATGTCACAGCTGAAGAGCTCCCTGTCACAGACGTCAGCGGCCACGTAGAGTCGAGCTGATGATACAAGTCTGAAGTTCCAGTTCCTTTTATAGCTCATATCTACAGATCTGTGATACTTTTAAAAACAATATACATCATTTAAAAAAACAGCTGGCTGTGTTTCCAGTGGTGGATTAACCCACATGTGGTGCTTTAGTTATTGTGTGTGGCAGAACACATACAGAACTGATCCATAACATATCACAGTCTGTGTGTTCAGTGAAAGAACATGTGGCTCAGTTCACCGTGGTCGCCCACTGTGTCCAATACTTCATGGACAACAATGGTTTTATGGGCATTAATGGCCGTTTGTAAATTAGCGCTTGATGGATGCACAAACAACCTGAACACCTAAAATGTGCCAGGGATCAGCTGGTGTTCTTATCTTTTATCTTTATTAAAACAAAGGTTCAAGCGAGTGTTTGTCAGATGAATGAACTGTTAAGGATCTCGGTTCGTTCAGTTTAGACACGTCAGGCCTGTAGCAGTGACTGCTGATGAGCTAAATCTAGACTCCTGTTCAGGGTGTTCGACCACGACCTGATTATGACCGTGCTGTGATGGAGACCACAGCTGCTGTCTTATTCTGTGAAATGTGCTGGGGTAACATCTGGGTAACATCTGGGCACTCTGCCTAATGAGTGGACATTTAAAAAGTGATTTTTGAATAATTAAAGGTTTCCAAGTAAATGTTTAAGTCTCCGTAGCAGTTAATATTCCTAAAGAGGGATGTTTTTGCTGTACTGGAAATAAAAATTATAG